TGCCAGCGCCCCTCTGTGCATCCAGAACACAAAGCCGCAGCAGGCATTTTCCATTCCAGGTGCTGTTGCAACCCCGCATTCCAGAAAGCAACCCCAGGAGCCCCTCCCCGCTCATTTACTAACTGCCATTTCCTCCTCCTGCAGGCTTGGCCCTGGAACACCAAAACAGACGGGACCCCGAAGAGAGTGATGAATTTCAGAGCTGACCTGTTCACCTGGACAGATCCCCCAAACTCGGAAGTCAAAGTTCTCATGGTCGGAAGTTCTCATGGCGCGCGAACCCTCGGGAGCCCTCGAGCAGTAGGGGTAGGGGCCCCTCCTCTCAGGCGACAGCAGGTGGTGGCCCCTGTAGTGTAGGCGTGTGGGCACGGGCCAGCCTCAGAGCCACCCACACCGGCTGCTGGAAGCTGTCCATAACGCCTGCCTTCAGTCCAGCATTCGGGGGAGAGCAAGGCCAATGTCGTGGGAGGGGTGTGTGCCACAATGGCCAGAGGGGAGAGGTGAGTGGGACTGCAGCGGGGGGCCGGCTCCCCTGAGAGTTGGGCAGGGCGATTGCAGCCCAGGCCGACAAGCAGCCACCCTTAGCCTTTCTCTTTGTACTTTGCTGAAGCCATGGGGAAAAGCGGCCGCTCTGTAGAGCAGAGCAGAGGAGGCTGGGGCCCTCCCAGCTGCTCGTCATGTGGAAAAGTGACATGGCCGCCCTGTGGTTCAGTCCACTAGCCAGAAGCGAGGGTTCTGAGATACCCCAGAGAGTCTAGTGGCGCCCCCATCGGGCCAGTGTCTGTAGGCTTCACGGAAGAGTTTTGAGCTAAGCTAACGTGAGTGCCTGCTCGCCAGGCCGCCCATGGGTGTTACAGGTAGGCACCCAGCCAAGTCAGGCTCCAGAGCCCGGAGGCTCAGCATCAGGCCCAGGAACTGATTGTGACGGAGTGGCTATTACCCAAGGTTCACGTAGGCCCAAGTCCTATGTTACCCAGACAGTGAGAAGCCCCAAGGCGACAAGTCGGGAGCGAGGCAGAGGAGGAGGAAAAAGAACATGCGAGTCAGTTTTAGAAACAGTGAGGTTTCATGTAACCGAGCGTCTTGGAAAGTAGCCCAGGGCTGTAGCACAGGCTTACAATGATTTTGTGTCCACAGTCATGAGTCACACTACATGCCCCACAAAGCTAGGCATTGGTGAAGTCCAAGTTGTCCTGGAGTAATAAAAGCTTATGTGTCGACCTCTGGCTGGACTTGTGGAGTTTGTTGCACTGAGAGCCTCGAGCGTTCCCAGTGCTTTTCAACTCAGGATTCTTGACCGTCCAGCCTAAAACACCAGCTTTCCCTGCCCCCCACCCCAGCAAACCCTCTGAAGGCTCTCGTGCCACCATACTGGTGGCAGGTCCACAACACTGCCACCCAGCAGTACTTTCATGGGTCGTTAGATGTTCCCTGTGTGTTTTATGGGTTCTGATGCTATCGTAAATGGTATCTTTATTGCGTTTTCTACTTGGTCATCGGTAGTGTATAGAAATACAATCGAGTTTTGTGTTTTTTGACCTTGCTTAAATTCACTCATTAGGTTTAGCAGTGTTTTGGTAAATATCTCGGGATAGTCTGCGTACACAATCATTTCACCTTCAAATAAGATAGTTTCACCTCTTCCTTTCCAATCTGCCTCTCAATTCTTTTTCTTGTCAATAGGTGTATTTTGTCCATCCACTTTCGAATATTAAACCAACTTTGCATTCCCTGGGTAAAAAGAGCTCTTGGTCATGACATGTTATCCTTATGTATTGCTGAACTCCATTTGCTAATCTCTCTTGAGAATTTTTGCATCTACGTTCGTGAGGAATATCGATCTGCATTTTTCTGTTGATATCTGGTTTTGGTATCAGGGCCTCATAAAATAAATTGGTTTTAATGGGCTTGTGTACACTTGCTGTTAACTTCTTTAAATGTTCGATGGATTCACCAGTGAAGCCATCTGTACCTCGAGTTTCCTTTGCGGGAAGGTTTTTCATTCCAAATTCAATTTTTTCTATTAGCTATCGGGCCATTCAGATTTTCTTTTTCTTTGTGAGTCAGTTTTAGTAATTTGTGTCTTTCAAGGAATTTACCCGTTTCATCTAAATTGACGTAAGTTGATAATCTCCCCTTATCATCCTCACGGCTGTAGGTTCTATAGTGCCATCCCCCCTTTCATTCCTGATGTCGGTAATTTATATCTTTTTATTCATCGGCCTACATAGAAGCTTATCGATTTTATTGATCATTTCAAAGTACCAAGTTTTGGTGTCATCGATTTCTCTCCGTCGTCCATTTTCTGTTTTGTTGATTTCCACTCTATCATTTCCTTTCTTTTACTTACTTCGGAGTAATAAAAGTTATTGCGGGTTTAATTTGCTCACCTTTTTCTGACTTCTTACAGTGTAACCTTAAATCATTGATTTTAAACTTTTTTTCTGACATAGACATTTAAAGCAGTAAATTCCCTTTGAGCCGCATTCTACGCATTTGAATATGTTCTATTTTCATTATCATTCAGTTGATGATGTTTTCTGATTTTCCTTGTGATTACTTCTTTAACCGATGACTTACTTAGAAGTATATTGAATTTCCCAATACTACAGGATTTTGCAGGAACCTTTTGGTTATGTGTTTTGAATTCCATCGCGGTCAGAGAATTTACTCTGGTTGATTTCATTCCTCTTCAAATTATCGAGACTCGTTTTATGGTTTAGTTCGGTGAATGTTCCATTTAGATTTTTAAAGAGTATATCCCGTAGTTGGGTAGAATATTCTATAAATGTCAATTAGGTCAAGGTGGTTAATGGGGTTGTTCGAGTCATCGGTATCCTTGCTGATTTTCCGTCTAGCAGGTCTCTGGAACTCTGCGAGGAAAGTGTCACAGTCTCTGACTGTGAATATGGATGTGTCTTTCTCCTTTCTGTCAGATTTTGCTGCATCTCTTGCATTGAGTGTGTTCGCATTTAGGATCGTTACGTGTTCTCGATCGATTGACACTTCTATTATCATGAAATGCTCCTCTTTATCTCTGGTAATATTCCTTCTTTTGACATCTGCTTTGTCTGATATGAATATAGCCACTCCAACTTCTTTATGCTTAGTTTGTTTCGTGTTATAACTTTTTCTGTTCTATACTTTTAACCTATCTGTGTCTTTATATTTAAAGTGCACTTATAGACAAGATATGGCTCCATCCTACTTTTGTAACCAGTCCGATAATCTCTGCCTTTCAATTGGTTTGTTTAATCCATTTACATTTAATGGTCGGGCTTAAGTAGACCATCTTGCTATCTGTTTTCTATTTGTCCCATCTGTTCTTTGTCCCTTCATTCCTCCGTTTCTGACTTCTTTTGGGATGAATCAGATGTTTCCGGCATTCTGTTTTTCTCCACTATTGGCTTGTTGGCTCTGATAACTGAGACCACTTTCCTGCATCGTGATCTGATCTTTGTGCATCGTCATAGGCACAAAGGTCGAAATCTAGGCTGCTCATAGGGGTCACTGCATTTCTTGTCCTCTGATCGCAGTCCTGCACTGCCTGCTGTCCAATATCTGAAAATAGTTCTTTTAAACTTTTGCCTAGTTTTCTAGTCGTTTACAACCAGAAGGGTCTACTGGTATCGGGTATTCCATCATGGCCGCTATCATAAGTTTTCCCTCTTCTGAGTAATTCTTTACTCCTGCGGTCACCCTATCTTTCTCTTGTACGATCAGTTTCTTCCTTGCTCCTGGATCTATTTTCATCCGATATGTTCCCCAGTAGCTTCCATTCGTGAAGGAGTCCATTGGCCCAACACCTCTCTCTAATCGCAACCTCAATTCTCCGTTCTTCTTTATAGCCCAACTTCTCGAAATAATTGTCTGCTTTTTTCATTTTTTTTATTATTTATTATTATTTATGCCTCCGGCACCTGGTCTTCCTACGTGGTCTCCCATCCAAGTACTAACCAGGCCCAACCCTGCTTAGCTTCCAGGATCAGATATCAGGCTTGTTCAGGCTTGTTCACCGGGGCGCAAACCCAGGACCTTCTACTTGTAAAGCTGACATGCTAACCGCGACACTATGGAACCACGTCCAATAATTGTCTATTTTCTCACTTCTTCTCGTTCCTTCTTGAACCCTTCCTAACGTGGCTCCTACCCCACCACTCTACCAAAGTGGTATCAAAGAGACCGGTGAACATGTCGCCGGGTCCAGTGTCCTCTGCAACACTGCCCTCCCCGTCTCCTCTACCCGACCTCTACAAGGCAGGACCCCTCAGGGCTCACCCGGGGCTCTCCTTGTGACCTCCACTCACTCTACTCGCTCTCAAAGGCCATCCTCCTATCGATCATTCCCAAATGACGTATTCAACAATGAACTCTTCTCTGAGCATGTCACCCATCCTTCCGACTGCCTACGGGACGTGTCTTTGGTATCTCACAGGCACCATAGCTTAAATGATGAAACAGAACCTCGGATCCACAGTTGTCACAAGCACTGTCTCAGGGGATGGCCCTAGCACCACTTTCCACCCAGCTGCCCAAGCCAGACCCTCAGACGTTAGGTTTGTTTTTTAATAGAATCCATTAGGGAGGTGTAACTTAAAGGCAGAAAGGTATGCAAACTGTACATGTATAACTCCATGAGTCATAAGACCAGCCCACACGCGAGGAAGAAGGAGTTACAGTCAGGCGTTTGACGGGGGGAGTGCCAAAGAACTCGTGGACGTGTTTTAAACCAGTGCGAGGCCATTTTCGTCCCCCCAGAAAGGTCCCTCGTGCAAGGGGGCCACGCACATAGATCAGTTTTGCATGTTCTTGAACTTCGCATGTTCGTGAAGATGTCCTCGGACTTCTAGACACTTCATTGCTTTACCTTTCATAGGTGGCTCTGTGCTACATGTCAAATTGATTTTTGTTCCTGATGGTAGGTAGGCATCAAGATGTCTCGTTTTCCCACGTGGACATCCAGTTTATCCCACACCAGTTAGTAAAAGACTATCTTTCCCCCGCTGAATCAAAATGGGGACTTCGTCATCAACCGGCTGGCTGTGTTGGCGCAGGCCTGTTTCTACCCTATGTCCCCGTACAAATGCCACACTGGCTTCATTCCTGTAGCGTTAGAATAAGTCTTAATTTCTGTTAGCTGTGATTCCTCCAGTTTGTTCTTTTTTAAGATTGTTTTAGTTATTCTAGGCCCTTTGCGTTTCCATATAAAAGGTAGAGAAATTGGAACTCTTGTCCATTGCTGGTGGGAATGTAGAATGGTCTAGCCACTTTGGGAAATGGTTTGGCAGTGTCTTAAAACGTTGTCATCAGCTTACACCATAATACGACTATTCCATTCCTAGGATTTACCCAGGAGAAACAAATTCATACCTCCACAAACGTTCACAGCAGCTGTATTCACAACAGCTAAACAGTGGAAACAACCCAAATGGCCATCAGGTGACTGGATAAACAAATTGTGTGTTCACACAACAAAAGACTACTTAGCAATTAAAAGAAACAAATTATTGGGCTCAGAATAACTACACTGAGTAAAGATAGCCAGACCAAAAAGGCATACACACTGTAGGACTCCATTTACGTACAGTTCCAGGAAATGCAAACTTATCTCTCCTAACAGAAAGCTGATCGGTGGCTGTCTAAGGGTGGGTGGGGAGGGATGGGCTGAAGGAAGGGGTCGCCAGAGGCGTGAGGAGACTTGGAAGGTAGCGGATATGTTCATTCTCTTCATTATGGTGCCAGTTTCACAGATAGAACTTGCAAAACATAGGCTTTAAATGTCTGCAGTTTATTTTATGTCATTTCTACCTCAATAAAACTGTTTGTTTTTTTGACATACAACATGTCTCTTTTAAGCAGCGCATTGTTGGGTTTTTTTTCCCTTTAACCCAGCCTGGCCATCATTGTTAATCCACTGACTTTTTCATGTATTTGCCAACACGTTTTTGTGTGTGTTTATTGTGGGAAAACGCGCACGACATGACATTTATCATTCGGACCATTCGTGTACAGTTCAGTGGCATTAGATACGTTCACGGCATTGTGTACCCATCACCGCTATCTGTACCCCAAATGTGTTTCGTTATCTTGCCCATTAAACAGTAATTCCCCATCCTCTTCCTGATCTGTTTAAGAGCACGTCTTGCTTCTCGGTGTCTGCCGTCGCATCTGCTGTCCGTCCCTTCCTGTCTCCTTCCTCCTCTTCTGGTGTCGCCACTTG